AGAGTTAGTTAGTAGAGTTAGTTTGTACTCTCTCAGTCAGTAGAGTTGTCAGTAGAGTTAGTTGTAGTGTTTGTAGAGTTAGTTTGTACTCTCAGTCAGTAGAGTTAGTTAGTTACTCTCTCAGTCAGTAGAGTTTTGTAGAGTTAGTTTGTACTCTCTCAGTCAGTAGAGTTAGTTTGTACTCTCTCAGTCAGTAGAGTTAGTCAGTAGAGTTAGTTTGTACTCTCTCAGTCAGTAGAGTTAGTTTGTAGAGTTAGTTTGTAGAGTTAGTTTGTAGAGTTAGTTTGTACTCTCTCAGTCAGTAGAGTTAGTCAGTAGAGTTAGTTTGTACTCTCTCAGTCAGTAGAGTTAGTTTGTACTCTCTCAGTCAGTAGAGTTAGTTTGTAGAGTTAGTTTGTACTCTCTCAGTCAGTAGAGTTAGTTTGTACTCTCTCAGTCAGTAGAGTTAGTCAGTAGAGTTAGTTTGTACTCTCTCAGTCAGTAGAGTTAGTTTGTAGAGTTAGTTTGTAGAGTTAGTTTGTAGAGTTAGTTTGTACTCTCTCAGTCAGTAGAGTTAGTCAGTAGAGTTAGTTTGTACTCTCTCAGTCAGTAGAGTTAGTTTGTAGAGTTAGTTTGTACTCTCTCAGTCAGTAGAGTTAGTTAGTAGAGTTAGTTAGTACTCTCTCAGTTAGTAGAGTTAGTTTGTACTCTCTCAGTCAGTAGAGTTAGTTTGTACTCTCTCAGTCAGTAGAGTTAGTTTGTAGAGTTAGTTTGTACTCTCTCAGTTAGTAGAGTTAGTTAGTAGAGTTAGTTTGTACTCTCTCAGTCAGTAGAGTTAGTCAGTAGAGTTAGTTTGTAGAGTTAGTTTGTAGAGTTAGTTTGTACTCTCTCAGTCAGTAGAGTTAGTTAGTACTCTCTCAGTCAGTAGAGTTAGTTTGTAGAGTTAGTTTGTACTCTCTCAGTCAGTAGAGTTAGTTTGTACTCTCTCAGTCAGTAGAGTTAGTCAGTAGAGTTAGTTTGTACTCTCTCAGTCAGTAGAGTTAGTTTGTAGAGTTAGTTTGTAGAGTTAGTTTGTAGAGTTAGTTTGTACTCTCTCAGTCAGTAGAGTTAGTCAGTAGAGTTAGTTTGTACTCTCTCAGTCAGTAGAGTTAGTTTGTAGAGTTAGTTTGTACTCTCTCAGTCAGTAGAGTTAGTTTGTAGAGTTAGTTTGTACTCTCTCAGTCAGTAGAGTTAGTTTGTACTCTCTCAGTCAGTAGAGTTAGTCAGTAGAGTTAGTTAGTACTCTCTCAGTCAGTAGAGTTAGTTTGTAGAGTTAGTTAGTACTCTCTCAGTCAGTAGAGTTAGTCAGTAGAGTTAGTTTGTAGAGTTAGTTTGTACTCTCTCAGTCAGTAGAGTTAGTTTGTACTCTCTCAGTCAGTAGAGATAGTTTGTACTCTCTCAGTTAGTAGAGTTAGTTTGTACGCTCTGAGTAAGTAAGTAGAGGAAGTTTTCTTTAACCTCGTGGTCCAGGGAAGCCGGGGTATCCGGGCGCTCCTTCTTCTCCTCGCTGCCCTTTGATAGGGACACCATTTGTCTCTCCTTGAGGCCCCGGGAACCCTTTACAGCCTGCAGGGGACACGTTGGTTAACCTTTGACAGCATGATCAGTTTCATAAGCAACAGCTGACCTCTGACTCACTCTGGGACCATGGTACTGTTTATTAATGTGCCATTTCATTTGTGTTTTACAGCTGTATTCGTCTGCCTGTATTGTTTTGTGTTCATTTGTTGTAACTGTGTTCTGCCCTCTTGGCCAGGTCGCTCTGGAAAAAGAGATTTTTACTCTCAATGAGACTTTTACCTGGTTAAATAAAGGATATATACCTTTCTCTCCTTTGACTGCTTGACACTGTAACGATTTACCTTCTTTCAAGAATAAACTCCCTGAAAGACCGTCTTATTCCAAGAATCTTCATTTCAGTATAACGGAAAGGTTTCCTCTCCATTTGATTATTATTTGTTAGTTTGTCTCGATACATTTCCACCACACACTTAAAAAAACAACGTTGTCTCAAGGTGCTTTACAATGCTATGAGGAGAAAATACAATAAAATAAAAAGTTATCTCAGGAACATATTGAATAAAATATATAGAAAAGAGATGTTTACTCTCAATGAGACTTTTACCTGGTTCAATAAAGGATATATATACCTATCTCTCCTTTGGTTCCCTCGCATCCTAAACCGCCGTCTACTCCGTTTAACCCTCTCTCTCCCTTTATCCCTGGGTATCCGAGGGCCCCGGTCTGTCCAGGGGCCCCCAGCTCTCCATCCTGGCCCCGGGGTCCAATCACACCTGAAACACAGCGCGAGGATTTCTGTGAAGCTGTCGCCAGGAAACATTTATTTGATGTGATTTATTTTGAACGTGTAAAACAATAATACAAAAAATAATAATAATAATGAAATGAAACAAGAGAATTATGATACTGTACAAACTTAAAGGTGGGGTAGGTAAGTTTCGGCTCGAGATACACTTGTTGTTATATTCCATGGAATGCTCTTAACATCCCGATAGCAATGAATATCTGAAGTGCTTTGACAAAACAATCCATAAACAAATATCATCTGTGGAAGCCGTAGTACTGTAAAAAGCATGACCAATCATCTGAGCCGGCCCGGCTAAAATAACTGGATGGCCTACCTGCCTGTCAGCCTTCCATCTGTGCACAAACTTATCTCGTGCCCTCATTGGTCATGTGCGCGTTCGTGTGTGTTGGAGGAGGGGCTCTGTAAGGAAGTGGCAGATTTTCTCCGGCTGTGTATTTTCTAATTCTAGCGATCTCAAGCTGGTTTCTCCAAAATTACCTACCCCACCTTTAAGCAGTATCAAATTGGTAAACAAAAATATTATTGACTTACAAATGATATATACACAAATGATCTAATTACACATCTGAAAAGGGGAGGGAAGAAGTTTACACTCCCACCTGTTAGAACCACTATTTTGTTTTTATAAGAAAGGCCACCTAATCATGGCGTCTGTTTTCAACAGAGTATAAAAGACTACAATACCCACAGTGCCTCCTCTAAAGTGAGATGGGCAACCTGTCAGAAAGACGCCATCAAGGCACAGTTTTTAACCGTTAAGTTATCAAGTTATATATAGAAAGAAAGCAAGAAAGTTGTTTGTTATTTTATTTGAGTTTTGCACAATATCATCCAAACCATGTCAAGCAACTCTTCAACTGTGAGTAACACGAATATAAAGCAAAGAAAACGAGTTACAAATGTCTGTTTAAGGCGTCTAGTGGCTTGATAGAGAATAAGGAAGGACGCCACGACACCACCCCTTCTCCCAAAAACTAAATTATTAAAACTTTTTTTTTTTTAAACACAGGTGTGTCTGAGGAGGCGGGGCCTTACCTTTCTCTCCATCTGGCCCCGGGAAGCCGGAGTCTCCACTGAGGCCAGAGGGTCCCTGAGGCCCCGGGTAACCTGGGAGACCTGGACTTCCTGATTTCCCTTTAGGACCCTGAGGGCCCAAACCTGGGGGGCCAACCTCCCCGAACTCTCCTTTCTCCCCCAGAAACCCTGAATACAGAAATACAGCACATTAGGTCAGGGGGGGGGAAACTGTTTTCACTGAGGGCCACATACAGAAAAACATACGAAGGGCTGGGCCACTCACTAGAGGTCTATCGCCTCATAAGTTACGTTTTAAAATTAATCAAATGTAGGTAAATGATTCTTGATACTTTAATATGCTTTAAGAAACAAACAGCTCCCTGCTCTCCAGAGGGTTTCATTTATCTTGTCAGCAGCTCATTCCTTAAAACAGAAGCTTCAGATTGCTGATCATAAGAGGAAATATGAAGGGTCTATTTCAAGCTTGTTATACAAATAAGTTATTGTGCTTTTTTCTTATCAAGTTAGATTTGTTAGAAACATTTTTCAAATTTAATTGACTGAATTTATTTAAAAAGTGGGTTTATTAACACATGAATACTACTGTGCAATATATGTGTACATATATGTTTAAGAAGTACAATATAAGACAAGCACAAGTTTCATTAGTGGGACATATTTCATTATACTTTCAGAATTAGCTGGGGCCGCATTTGGCCCCCTGGCTTTTAATGTTATATCAATCAAATTCATTAAAGTGAATTAATTCACATCCATCCATCCATCTTCTCCCGCTTCTCCGTGGTCGGGTCGCAGAGGTATCAGTTCCAGCAGAGAGCCCCAAACGTTCCTTTCCCCTCATCAACCAGCTCTGACTGGGGGATCCCAAGGCGCTCCCAGGCCAGCCAAGAGATATAATCCCTCCACCTGGTCCTAGGTCTACCCCTCGGTCTCCTCCCAGCTGGACGTGCCTGGAACACCTCCCTAGAGAGGCGCCCAGGTGGCATCCTTACTAGGTGCCCGAACCAATTAATTAATAATTTTATGATAATCCAACTCGTAGCAAACAGATCAGATACATTTTTATGGCACAGAATACACAGTTATTCCCAGAAAATGTTCACAAGACAACTTACAAATGTTCTTATTCCGACACCATTTTCAAGAGGTTTTAGTGAACACAGATTCACTTTTTTTTCTTCTTTTAAATATACTTCTAAGTACCGTACTATGACAATTTGTGAATACACCTTTGATGACTAAAGCACAAGGCAAATAATTCCAAGGAGCCCAACAATCCTCTGTGTACAGTCATTCATACTGTAGTAAAATGTTGTTTCATTGGTTAATGGACATTAAGTCAGCTCCTAATCGATCAGAGATGAAGGTTGTATCGATGTCTAAGGAAGCGGTTTTACATCTGAAGTCGCCTTTATAGTTTACAGTCAACAAGTGCTGCCTCTGCATGCGACTGCACCTCGGCCAAGGAAATCTCTATATATATCGTAATAATGTGCTAGCACTTTGAATGGTTTGGTTTAGTTGAAGCTAATGTACCTACATGATTCTTGTTACTCTGTGCCCTCCTGGTTGAATGCATTTATTGTAAGTCGATTTTGGATAAAAGCGTCTGCCAAATGTAATGTAATGTAATGTAATGCCATATTCAGTAGGCAGAGTTTACCTGGGGGTCCTATGGGTCCCTGAGGGCCAAAGAGGCCCACTGGCCCAGGTGTTCCTGCCTCACAGCGGGTAGATGTGGGCCCCCGAGGGCCGGGGACACCAGGAGACCCATCCTGTCCTCTCTGGCCCTGAACTCCAGGACCTCCAGCCAGACCCAGGACTCCTGGACAAACACAGGAAACACAAATACATATTTGACAGATTTGACTTATTACCATTTTGGACATTAAAGGTCTCCTATCATGCAAAATGCACTTATTGATGTCTTCTCTACATCACCATGTGTCCCCGGTGTGTCAGGAGACTCACTAAGTGATGTCTTCTCTACATCACCATGTGTCCCCGGTGTGTCCCCGGTGTGTCCCCATGTGTCCCCGGTGTGTCCCCGGTGTGTCCCCGGTGTGTCCCCGGTGTGTCCCCATGTGTCCCCGGTGTGTCCCCGGTGTGTCCCCATGTGTCCCCGGTGTGTCCCCGGTGTGTCCCCGGTGTGTCCCTGGTGTGTCCCCGGTGTGTCCCCGGTGTGTCCCCATGTGTCCCCGGTGTGTCCCCGGTGTGTCCCCGGTGTGTCAGGAGACTCTCAAAGTGTCAGGAAATAAACCCCTCTCTCTTTTCCTCCGTACCCACATCTCTAAAAACGGGGGAACAACGGAGCTGATCCAGATTTGCTGCGTCATGACCACATTACTAAAATGTGGGCGGGCTTTAAACCCACGGGCCAATCAGAAACGTGGTGTCAGAAACAATGAGACGTGTTCTGGAAGTAATATGGTCTGTGTTTACATTAGCATGCTAACACTCAGAGCTAACCTGTGCTGGAGAGAGCATGTGTGAAGAAGCAGGAAATGAAAAGGAGAACAGAGTGAGATTTTCAAAGTAAAAGAGTGTATTTGTGGACAACATGTTGACTTCTAGCAGGTGATTAACAGACCAGATATGTTCTGAGTGTATTCAGGTGCAGTACTTCACCTGGTAGTCCGTTGGTGCCGGGGGGTCCGGGCACTCCTTTGGGCCCCTGAGAGCCCAAAGGCCCCGGGAATCCGATTGGTCCTGAGGGCCCGACAGCAGAATCTCCTGCTGACCCGCTGAGCCCAGAAGAGCCTGGGACCCCCGGAGAGCCTGGTGGACACACAGGGAAACACACACTCTTTATTATTCATGCAAACCATCTGCATCACTTTCTGTAACAATGATGTCTTCAAACACACACAGGGAAGCAGTTTGTTTCTAGGGTAACATCACAATCATATCAATATATGGCCCAGATCTACATCAAACATGTTTTGAATTGAACCGTTTATCTGTGAAAACACACATGTGTAAAACTAGTGCAATCCCAGTCTGATGAAAGCAGGGAAATAATGATGAGTGCACCTGGATCTCCATCATAACTGACGCCTTCTCGGCCTTCGTCTCCGGGGTCTCCAACAACACCTGGGGGTCCTGCAGGAGTGTAAAGGACAGGTGTGGTGTGTTACAGGTGTGGTAAAGGTGTGTTAATGTTGTGTTACAGATATGCTACAGGTGTGTTACAGCTGTGATAAAGGTGTGCTACAGGTGTGTTAATGGTGTGTTACAGGTGTGGTAAAGGTGTGTTAATGTTGTGTTACAGATGTGTTACAGCTGTGATAAAGGTGTGTTACAGGTGTGGTAAAGGTGTGTTAATGTTGTGTTACAGATGTGCTACAGGTGTGTTACAGATATGCTACAGGTGTGTTACAGCTGTGATAAAGGTGTGTTAATGTTGTGTTACAGATGTGCTACAGGTGTGTTACAGCTGTTATAAAGGTGTGCTACAGGTGTGTTAATGGTGTTACAAGTGTGTTACAGATGTGCTACAGGTGTGTTACAGGTGTGGTAAAGGTGTGTTAATGTTGTGTTACAGATGTGCTACAGGTGTGTTACAGATATGCTACAGGTGTGTTACAGGTGTGGTAAAGGTGTGTTAATGTTGTGTTACAGATGTGCTACAGGTGTGTTACAGCTGTGATAAAGGTGTGCTACAGGTGTGTTAATGGTGTGTTACAAGTGTGTTACAGATGTGCTACAGGTGTGTTACAGATATGCTACAGGTGTGTTAATAGTGTGGTACAGATGAGGTACAGGTGTGTTACAGGTGTGGTACAGGTGTGTTACAGGTACCTCGTCGTCCAGGTGGACCAGACAGTCCAAACTGTCCTTTGTCTCCTTTAGCTCCATCAGGTCCGGTGATGCCACGAAAACCTGGAGGACCCGAGAAACCTGGGTACCCTGGAGAGACAGACAGGAAGTGAGACAGACAGGTGAGTAAACAGACAGGTGAGCGGACAGAAAGATGAGAGTAGACAGACAGGTGAGTAAACAGACAGGTGAGTAAACAGGCATGTGAGAAGACAGACAGGTGAGTAGACAGACATGTGAGTAGACAGAAAGATGAGCAGACAGACAGGTGAGCAGACAGACAGGTGAGTAGACAGACATGTGAGTAGACAGACAGGTAAGTAGACCGTCAGGTGAGCAGACAGACATGTGAGTAGACAGAAAGATGAGAGTAAACAGACAGGTAAGAGTAAACAGACAGGTGAGCTGACAGACAGGTGAGCTGACAGACAGGTGAGCTGACAGACAGGTGAGCTGACAGACAGGTGAGTAGACAGACAGGTGAAAGTAAACAGACAGGTGAGAGTAGACAGACAGGTGAGCTGACAGACAGGTGAGCAGACAGACAGGTGAAAGTAAACAGACAGGTGAGCAGACAGACAGGTGTAAAGGTGATGCTTACCTGCATTTCCAGTGTCTCCTTTCTCTCCGGGGGCGCCAGGGTTTCTGGGTACACAGGGCAGAGTGTCACCTGCAGGAAGAGGAGGAGTCAACAATGGTCAGATGTACAAAAATTATCGTATTTGTACGATAATCTTTGGAAGGAATTAATTTTTAAAAAAGTGTTTGCGCTGTTTCTGTAAGAAAAATATGGATCCTACTTCTGCGAAATGTCACCATGTTTGATAATAAATCAAGATAATAAAACATGGGTTAAAATCTGTACCTTGAACCCCCGTCGGCCCCGGGGGGCCAGGGAGTCCTTGTGGTCCTGAGTCTCCAGGGGGCCCTCGCTGTCCTACTGCTCCGACTACATCTCGCCCCGGGGGCCCTGAAGGTCCTGGTGACCCTTTTGTTCCCGGGTAACCATTGTGGCCTCTGTCTCCAGGAGAACTGGGGAAACCTTCCCCCTGAGAAGAAACAGAAGACACAGAGAAATCATAAAAAGATAGCCAACAGTAAAGGCACCAAGTCTGGGTTTACATTATGGTCTTTCAATCTGTCATCCAATGAAAATCATTACACACAGAATGGATAGCGCTACAAGTTGGGAGGAAATGGTGTCCAAAGATCTTAAATGAAACTTAGCAATGGGTGAAGGTACATTTTGATGAAAATTAAATACAATTGTTTGAAGGAAATGATTTCACAGCCATGTAAAAAAGAGACCTTAGATATCAGGAGTGTGTAACTGACCTGGGGGCCGGGGTCTCCGGAGGCCCCTGGGAGTCCATCGAGGCCTCTCCTCCCTGAAAACCCTTGTCTGCCTGGAAGGCCCTGCTGGCCCAGGTTCCCTTTCTCACCTGGAGACAAAAGTCCAATCAAAACCATTCATACGCTGACATGACATTGTGCTTAATAAGTTAAGTTAAAAGTTTGAACTCACCTTTAAAATCTACCACAATGAAATATCCCTTCTGACCTTTGAACCCTACGACACCTGGAAATCCCCCCAAACCCTAAAAACAAAACATCAATTAATCTATCGAACATTCAACCAACCAACCAACCAACCAACCAACCAACCAACCAACCAACCAACCAGTCAGTCAATCACTCTGTTTATTTTGGTTGCTTACCTGTTCTCCGCGTACTCCTGTGTCTCCAGGTAAACCTTTCTCTCCTCTCAGCCCCGGGGCCCCTGATGTTCCTGAATATCCTGGAGACCCCCGATCACCCTCCGGTCCAGGGAGGCCCTTCATCACAATGGGGGGGCCACAATCACAGCCTCCAGAACTACCTGAAACACACAGTGAGATTAAGTCAATAACATGTGGAGTTCCTCAGGGAAACGTGCTGGAGCCTGTGTTCTTTACCGTTCAGGCATAAATTATAAAATCTTGTTTTTAGGTTCATAAAATCACTTTTTTTTTTTCATATATGTTATTTTGAAGGAGTGAGGTATCACCCACAGCAGTGCAAAACATTCATATGTGGTTTTGAAAGTGATGTTTTTTGTCATATAAAACGTTTCATTAAATTACTTTTTTGTACCATTGAGAAAATTAGTTCAGGGATTTGTCCACACGTCTAGATTTGAGTTTTTTTAGTTGGATGTAACGACTTGAACAATTGACAATGAATAATAACATTCATCCCTTAAGTGTTTTGATTTGTTTGTAAAGCTGAATTAATTCAATTAGTCAGTCAGTCAGTCAGTCAGTCAGTCAACCAATCAACCAACCAACCAATCAACCAATCAACCAATCAACCAACCAACCAACCAATCAAGCAGTCAATACTTCCAGACGCTCACCTTTAAACCCTTGGAAGCCCTGGGACCCTTGTGGCCCCTGATCACCAGGATCTCCAGACTCTCCTGGAGCTCCTTCAAAACAGTAAGTACCTGAAGAGAAAACAGAAAGTCAGCAGAACGACAACAGCAAACAATCTTTATTGATTATAGATATTAGAACAAGGAAGTGACGTTTATCCTTTGTGCATCATTCAACTTTCAATGTTTTACAGCTGTTATTTAACAACAGTCCTGATCATAACTACCAAATAGCCCAATATTTTAAGAAATGTAATGTTTCAAGAACATAACGTTCAATTATTTGATGTATCTGTGAAATCTTTGATATGCAAATAAGTATCAACTAAATTGGTTTTGATGAATTTGACTTGAATTTGACCCATAAGGCAAACATGAGAAAGTATCTTGAATATCTTTTTTTTTAAAGTTACATTTTAAATTCAGGGGTCTTGATGTTGATATTATAGAACTCAGCATTTTATGAAAGTTTGCTTTTAATGGCTTTCAGTGGAGACATTTTTGTTCTTAAGGCTTTGACTGTGTGTATTTTGAAAACACAACTTATTAAACTTTAGACTTATTATTGGAGCTGACGTAAATATGTGTCCCCGGTGTGTCAGGAGACAGGAGACACACCGGGGACGTCCAAAATGAACAAATGAAAAATGCTAAAATGGTTTCCATATGCATCTGCAAATCCCAAATCATCAATAACTAAACCAGAGTTAATTCACTTTGGATAATGACATCACCATACTGTGAGAGCTATACAACCAGCAGGTAGGAACAATGTTCTCCGGTACCTGGTGTCCCCTGTTCTCCTTTCAGTCCTTGTGGTCCGAGCCGTCCTGGTTTTCCTGGTTCTCCCGGTGTGAGTTGATCTTTATAAACCAGACCCGGGTCTCCTCGGTCCCCCCTGGATCCTAGAGACCCCCTCTCACCCACAACACCCCTGGGACCTGAAGAGGAACACATTTATTTATGATACGATAGGATAATACTTTAACGATCAAGTCTGAAATGCTCCTTGCATCACAGCAGCTCCATGTGTAACATCAACAGACAAATATCAAGACACATGAAGAACAAACAAACTGCCGCTAACGTTAGCTTAGCTTGTTTCTCTGATAACTTCAGAACCAGACTTCCCATCACTAAAATCCTTCATCCCGTTAAAATACACAGTTAAAAGATGTAAAAAGTGTGTGGTAATAATGTGGCTGGGATGGGATAGCCAACTTTATAATCCCCGAACTTCAACAAATGCTCAACGTTTTACTGTGATATCTTGTTTCTAGTTACTTTATCACTTTATTTAATTTTTAAAAGTGCACTATTATTGTAATATTTGATTCTACTTTGTCTATATTTTATCTTATGTGAATCCTGTTTTTTTTTAACTTTCACCCTGTTGCTGCTATAAACGCCTGCATTTCCAAAAAAAAAAAGAAAGCAGAAATTGTATTATTATACCTTTAAATCAGAATATAACTGTAGTTACTGTAAGAAATAATCAATATATTGTGCCGGAACTTTAAAGGACATTATTTACTGAAGCAGTGTTTTCACCCGGACCGGATGTTTCTGGTTATTATTGTTTTTAGCCTCACAGTAGCATGGAGAATAAACAATGACGTGTGGAGTTACATTACATGTCATTTGTTAGACGCTTTTATCCAAAGCGACTTACATACATTCAGTACTGTGGACAATACCCACAGGAGCAATTTGGGGTGAAGTGTCTTGCCCAGGGACACAACGACATGCTGACTGCAGTGGGACTTGAACTTGGTACCCCCTGATTTGAAGTCCAGCACTCTATCCACTGAGCCACAGCCGCCCCGTAGTTACACACTAAACACACCGTCTCCAACTCTCACTCATCGACGCTGTATTACTACTATTCTTATGTGTTTATGACCAATAAACATTAGAACAATTGTATAATAAATATCGTAAGAAATGCGCCATGGCTACGTCATCAGAGGCTACAGAAGAAGACGCTAGCCAATGAATACGATATAAAACACGATGTTTGATAGAGAAACGGTCTCTTTCATTCATTCTACTGCAGACAGCTAACCGCTCATGTGGACTGTGGACCAGTGAATTGAATATTAGAACCACAGCTGTGTTCCCTTCTAAAACCTACTATACCATTGCATTAATAAATACTGTTAAACTTTACGACAAGCTTCCTGGTCTACTTTTGACTAACTCTTGGTCTTCAAACAAAAGAACACAACATGACTGACCAGATAATGATCTTCCGGGTGCTCCGGGGGGGCCGTGCATCCCCATCAGCCCGATGTCTCCTGGGGGGCCCCTGGGTCCGAGGGCCCCGGGGTCTCCATTGTCACCTGGAGAACAACAGGCAGTGAGCTGACGTCAGACCAGACATAACACCAGCTGAACGACTAGTGTGTTCAAAAAATATGTGAAAAACGATTTACATTTTCGAAACAATCTGTGGAATTCTTTTTTTTAAATATTAAAAGTTTAAAGGTGGGGTAGGTAAGTTTGAGAAACCGGCTCGAGATACACTTGTTGTTATCTTCCATGGAATGCTCTTAACATCCCGATAGCAATGAATATCTGAAGTGCTTTGACAATAAATCCATAAATAAATATCATCTGTGGAAGCTGTAGTACTGTAAAAAGCACGACCAATCATCTGAGCCGGCCCGGCTAAAATAACTGGATGGCCTACCTGCCTGTCAGCCTTCCATCTGTGCACAAACTTATCTCGTGCCCTCATTGGTCATGTGCTTGTTCGTGTGTGTTGGAGGAGGGGCTCTGTAAGGAAGTGGCAGATTTTTTCCGGCTGTGTATTTTCAAATTCTAGCGCACTCAAGCTGGTTTCTCCAAAATTACCTACCCCACCTTTAAGTGAAACATTTTCAGATTCCGTTTTTTTTTCTTCAGTTTTATGCATAATTTTTCTTTTCAACATTTTCAGGCTTTCAAAAATATTCAGATTTTCTTTCCACATTTTCAACGAAAACTCAGAATTTCTCAAATGAAAATCGGATTGTTTTTTGATGTCTTAAAACTACAGATGGAGCCTCTTATTTTGGACCCCAGCATACAGCTTCCTGCCTACTGCCAGCCAGTTACCTGCCTAAGACCTGCCAAAGACCAGTATTCAGGAATGTTAGGCCCTCCCACTCTAGGCCCTCGGCCATGTCTTTGGCGGTGATCCAAGCTTCGGTACCACAGTGGATAAAGTTAGTAATACATTTATAGGCTACTGATCAAATGTCAATACATTACATAAGTCTTATTCTCATTCATACTTAATTTATTTCTTCTTCTGTCAGTATGAACACAAAAAACTAACCGGTATTACATTTCATTCTAAAGTTTACGGTCTAAAAAGGTATTTAAAACAGATAATTTGTCGTTGCTTTTGGCATAAGCAGTCAGAGGAAACATAACGTTCTCAGTAAGATTCCTTGAAGAACTAGAGCACAAGAACCAAAGTAAGCTTTACTTTCAATGAACCTTCAATATAGACCTAACATGTGAAGAAACATACTTTATTTAAAATAAACATTTATAACTAGTTTAGGTTGTTTGAGAGGTAATTGAAATAGCTAAGGGTGATGATCTGCGAACACAAACTACAGACTGCTGGAGAAGAGATATCACAGGGGGGGGGGTTGGGACACACACATTCCGATGGCCAATTCGTTTTAAACAAAGAGTAGGCTATACTCAACATAGTGGGGTGGGGGCTGGTGAACGGTATGGTCAATGTTTGTAAACACTGTGACATTTTGACTTTATTTGATCATTTCAGTTAAAAACTAACGTTCATATTTCATATTACTGTTTTGCCTGGCTGGACCTGTAATTTACAGGAAAGGAGTGCACGCTACTAAAGAGACACGCTACCATGGAAACCAAACAATGGTGTTGCTGTATTGAAGTCCGAGTGGAAACAGTCATATTTGGAGCGTTATGTTAGAATGAAACAGCGAGGTCGTGACTCACAAAAAAAAAGTGTTACTTCACTAACTGTAAGCTTGTCACTCAGAGTAACCTACAGTTAACTTAACTGTTGGAGAAGAAAGATCAGGGGGGGAGAGAGCTGTGATGGGCCATTAGGAGTGTGAACACACACCTGAGAGCTGCCGTTTCATTCTGACTGTTTAAAAAACGGTAACAACGGACTATTTTTCTTAGCGGATGCATGTAAATTTAAATCAATACATACAACTATTTTTTAAATCAATAAAAATATTTTCTAAATCCATAAAAGCATTTTAATTAATATTGGGAGTCATGTCGTTACTTTGTGGCCATGTAATAAGCGGGATAATTTGCAGCGACTTGGTCATTATGGGGAAAAATAACACCCAGGGATCAAGATCCCTCCGCGACGCGACGCGGAGGGATCAGTAATTTTTAGTGAATTACTGAGTTTAGGCACGTTAATAACATTTTAATGAAGTTGAATACAGTATATTCATATTTGTCAGTGATTTCATGTCAATTCGGCGAACATAAACGATTAAATTAGGATTAAAAATCGAGAGCCGGCTGCTGTTCGTTACGGTAACCCAACTAGGACACTTGACACAGTGGCTTTTGGCAAAGCACACAAAGAAAACAAAAAAAACCGAGAGAGATGAGTTATTGTTATTACAACGTGACTTCACTATTATTTAACAACTATTTTTATTGGGTTCTTTTATTTGGGGTTAAGTACATTGTCAGAATAAGTGAGAAATGGATTTAACTTCTGTTAGACAGCTATCATACTGAATAAATATTTATGCAAAAATGTATGGCATTAATAATGTATATCTAATTACATTTAAAAATGTATGGCATTAATAATGTATATCTAATTACATTAACTGTGAATGTCTTTCATTTTATTTAAAATGAAATAAAATTACATAAAACATTTTCCATAAAAAAGTTGATTCAAGAACAAATCTCTGTTATTAGATCAGTACTTTTCTTATATGACTATTATTGCTAAATTTGAAAGGTCTTTACCAGCTTTGGAATTATATATATAAATATAGCACCTTCTGCCATCCCATCTCTACTGACAATCATTAACACTTAGATTTTATGATATCGTAAGCATCGTCAGTGATTGACTTAAACATTGAGAATGTATTTATTAACTTCAGACATTTTCATATACAAATGTGATCATACACCAACACACTTTTTTTAATTGAGTTGTGCAACATGGCGGACCATCTCGCACATGCGCACATGCATAACATCTCGCACATGCGCATAACAACATGGTGATGTTTTGTAAATGATTACATGTCTTATTTAGCACAGACTATGATCCTATCCGTGACATATGGATCTTAACAAAGATCCGCTATACATTAGTACCAGACATACTGTACACGGACATTTTAGTGAACCAGACCAGCTGTTTCCGCCGGGTCTTCGCTTCCCGGACATCACGTTGTTTACAAGTGTGTTCAGATGCTAAATAAAAGTTTAGCTTGTACTTTTGATACCCCGCCTCTCGGCACCACAACATCCAGTTTACTGTATTTCACATGAGCGATGTCGAACATTGAAAAGTCCTTATAAAATCTCTGTTATTAGATCAGTACTTTTCTTATATGACTATTATTGACTTGAACACTGAGAATGTATTTATTAACTTCAGACATTTGAAATATTTGAAATCAGATGAAAACAAACTGTAACGGACCCTGCCGTGTTATCTATGATTACTATGCCTTACTGTACATTCATAATTTCAGCCGGAGGTAGGTGGTAGGCGTTGCGGAGGAGCAGATTGCGAGTGAGGTGCCTGTTCTAAACGAACTATTCCAGCTGTTATAAAGCATTAAATAAAAAGTAAGCAAGGAATACAGAATGTTTCGTTACGTAACTTTGTTGAGAATGTGGCCATGTACATGTAATACATGGGATCATTTGCAGCGACTTGGTCATTGTGGGGAAAAATAACACCCATCCTGATCGTTTCAATGAAGTTGAATACAGAATATTCATATTTGTCAGTGATTTCATGTCAATTCGGCGAACATAAACATCAATGATGATGATTAAATTAGGATTAAAAATCGGGAGAGCCGGCTCGTTCGTTTTTTCCGACTAAACAACATTATTTAAATGATTACATGTCTTATTTAGCACAGACTATGATCCTATCCGTGACATATGGATCTTAACAACAAAGAAGTTGATTTCACATGACTCCAGTGTGGAACCCCACTGCACCCCCTGGTGGATCAATGATCCATTGCAGCTGGCTTCACAATAATTAAATGTATTTATCACGGGGGCGGTATCAAGTCAGACTGGGGGCCGGCCGGCCATCACGGAACGTGCACGAACCGATCACGACCCTCGCATTTTAAACTGTCCAAAATAAGACGCTTCATCTGTATGTCAACATTTTCAAAAAAGAAGTGTGTGTGTGTGTGTGTGTGTGTGTGTGTGTGTGTGTGTGTGTGTGTGTGTGTGTGTGTGTGTGTGTGTGTGTGTGTGTGTGTGTGTGTGTGTGTGTGTGTGTGTGTGTGTGTGTACCTGTGTGTGTGACCTCTACATCCTGAGGGACGCCTTTAGGACCGGGATCTCCCGTCAAACCCTGCGAACAAAAACAGGCTTCTTACAACTTAAAAAACACAGTAGTAATTCTACTTAGTTCTACTTTCAAAAGTAACGTTTCTTATTTCATAGATTTTACGGAGCTTTTGGATTGTAAATACAAAACATCGATCCAATGTGCAGAACAGACGTCATAGATATATATAGTAGAGCTGAACGGTTTGGAAAAAATCTCTAATTGCAATTATTTTTGACTGATATTGCAATCACGGGGACATGACACACACATTTTAAGGGAATGATAATATTTGCATTATTGTTCTCAATAGAGGAAAATGGGCACAGACTATATATCCTTTAGGAGCTAGAAATATAAAGAAAACCTATTCAAATGTTTGTACTGGGAAGTCTCTTTCCCAATGTCAGTGAATGGGAACATGTGTTTTATGGCCACATGGAACGTGTAGTACCACCGTTTGGCCACTAGGAAAATTGCTGACTGAGGTATGTTAAAGCGTTTTTCTGCAGTTTTCTAGGATTTGAATATAATAATGTTATCTTTGGCTTGACTAGGTATGGTGTTCCTTATCAAATAAATACTTTCTCTCTTGTTTGGGGGAAGAATTTCCAAAATACAGAGCTAATTTCATCATTCATTAACAAAGAAAAGCTGGTGAAATGCTTGAAAAAATCATTGTTAAAGTTATTCAAATATGTTGTTCAATAAAGTTTAAAACAAAAAAATCTATCATGTCGGCACTTTTTTCAACAACGCCGTAAACCGATGGTGGTAACAGGAAGTAGAAGCATTTTTCCGCACACGCTCAGAACCAATCAGGTTTCCCGTACAGGTCGGGTAGCGGCACAACTTCCTGGTTCTTGGATCTACCTGTGTGTGATTGGTCAGCAGAGATAATAGAGACTAAATGACAAACAGACTGACCTTAGGACCTTCCCGTCCAATCAGACCTGGGAGACCTGGGATTCCCCGCGTCCCCTGAAAACAAACACACACACACACACACAGAAATCCAGTTTATGGACGGGTGTATATCAAAGGAGGAAGATTTGTACATTTTGCATTTTCTCCGACAGTCAAATAAAAAAATACTCTTATATTAAATATCTATATCTATTATTTAGCATGTTATATCTGTCTAATTATATTTGAGCTAATTTATGTTTCTATTCCCTTGACTTCTAAATGACTGCATTAAATAACATAAGAGGTACTTTATTGACCCAAGTCGGGACATTTTAGCGTTGCAGCAGCATAAACAACATCAAAACTAAACAAGGCATTGCACATAAGTAGAAATTAAATAGTAGAAATAAACAATACTAGAAATTAATCATCTCAAAATAGAATTAAAACAGCATTAAAAAGTAAAAAATATACAGCATTCAAATGTTATTTTGAAGTGTGTTTCTGTACGTCTTAATGGGTTTCCTGTTTTTCTTTAAAAAGCCATTTGAAACACCTCGTTTTTGGGCTGTATAAAAAAAACGTTTGGGTATTTCTTCGTTTTAGTCGTATCATTTTCACAGTGTTGTTAATTAACTGACCTTGAATCCGCTCTCTCCGGGCACACCAAGGTTACCATAAAACCCCTGAAACACAGAAACACATCAGACAGAGACATATGTTTCTTTACTGATCTGAATATATCTGTCATGGTTTGGGATTTATGTTGTTTTCATTTTCCACTTTTATTTTGACGACCGGCGACCCTCCCCTACAGGCGCTCGGATGCGAAGGCCCGCCCACAATTAATTAATTTTGAATTGCTTTCCTCCTTGTGTCGTGTCTGATCCTACTTCCTGTGTTTGCCTTCCTGTCGTTAGTTGCCCTCCTGTGTCTGATTGTCTGATTGTGTTCACCTGTTTCCCTTGTGTTTCTGCCTCCCATGCCCAGCTGTGTCTTGTCCTGTGATTACCCAGCTGTGTATTTAGTCTTGTCTTCCCCTGTGCTCCTTGTCCGATCGTCGTCTCTTCTTGTCCATGATACCTGCCCGTTTCTCTAGTCCACGTTACCTGTTCGTCTTCAAGTCCAAGTTACCTGCCCGTCTTCTTTGTCCGTGTTACCTGCCTGTTCCCTTCTGTAAGTTTGTTCCTGTCTGTCCTGCTCCCTTGTTTTGTTAATGTTACGTTTCTTGTTTTTCCTGTCACCGGCTTTTTAATAAAGCTCGCTTTTTGTTACCAGACCTTTTTTTGTCTTTTTATCTGGACTTGGGTCCTGATTTTTACCCAACCCCGAAAATATCCGATTCATCAAGTGACCCGTGAGGTTAACCCTGATAATGGTAGGTTACTCACCCTGGGTCCAGGAAATCCCACAATCCCCTTCTCTCCTAAGATCCCTGGAAGTGCATCCAGACCCTAAAACCAAAACAACCTCAGCGTTACTTTCGTTATCTACAAGAATCAACATTTTGGTCGTCACCATCTAGATAGGCACCGGAACGCCGCTCGGACACTTAAACAATTACAGTTGCGGTTTAGATAGTTAACTTTAGTCTAAGTGATCTCTGTGGGTCTCAAACGGTTTGGTCATCTTATATGTAAACAAGTATTTCCGAGGCACACCTTCATATGATCATTATAGTTATACAAAATTAGAGAATACATGAAAAAAAGGTATGAAATAATGTAAAACAGAACTAAGGGGAGTGATTTGTAAAATATGAGAGATGTATCCATAGATAGGTCCACCTCCCACTTAAAACATGTTCACATGGATAGGATACTAAATACATTTACACACTTTTTATTAACCTATGTCCATATGTTTCTGTTTGGTGGTCGTGCCACAACATGCATGCGCGAGTCTTAGGTGCGCTCTGGTACTTATAAAAATAGCACTACACCCCTGAATGTAACACAAGAGGGTGGAGCTTGGGAGGAAACAGAACAATGTCTGAACTTACCGGCAGTCCTGTTACTGCACAGATGCCTTTAGGCCCCGGATCCCCCTGAAGAACCAACAAATCGATCATGAGAACGAACAGAACCAGAACTATAGCAGATCATGCACTATAAACATATCATGCACTATAAACATACTGTAGGACAAGGATGGACAAACACCTCATCTGCTGCTGTGGAAGTGGTTAAGAGTTCATGACATTTACAGTAGAGCTACAGTAAAACCTACGGCAGATCTAGGTTGAACTACAGTAGAAAGTGGAACCTAGGTTGAACTACAGTAGAAAGTGGAACCTAGGTTGAACTACAGTAGAAAGTGGAACCTAGGTTGAACTACCGTAGAAAGTGGAACCTAGGTTGAACTACAGTAGAAAGTGGAACCTAGGTTGAACTACAGTAGAAAGTGGAACCTAGGTTGAACTACAGTAGAAAGTGGAACCTAGGTTGAACTACCGTAGAAAGTGGAACCTAGGTTGAACTCCAGTAGAAAGTGGAACCTAGGTTGAACTACAGTAGAAAGTGGAACCTAGGTTGAACTACAGTAGAAAGTGGAACCTTACGTTGAACTACAGTAGAAAGTGGAACCTAGGTTGAACTACAGTAGAAAGTGGAACCTAGGTTGAACTACAGTAGAAAGGGGAACCTAGGTTGAACTACAGTAGAAAGTGGAACCTAGGTTGAACTACAGTAGAAAGTGGAACCTTACGTTGAACTACAGTAGAAAGTGGAACCTAGGTTGAACTACAGTAGAAAGTGGAACCTAGGTTGAACTACAGTGGAAATTGGAACCTTAGGTTGAACTACAGTAAAAAGTGGAACCTTACGTTGAACTACAGTAGAAAGTGGAACCTTACGTTGAACTACAGTAGAAAGTGGAACCTTACGTTGAACTACAGTAGAAAGTGGAACCTAGGTTGAACTACAGTAGAAAGTGGAACCTTACGTTGAACTACAGTAGAAAGTGGAACCTAGGTTGAACTACAGTAGAAAGTGGAACCTAGGTTGAACTACAGTAGAAAGTGGAACCTTAGGTTGAACTACAGTAGAAAGTGGAACCTAGGTTGAACTACAGTAGAAAGTGGAACCTAGGTTGAACTACAGTAGAAAGTGGAACCTAGGTTGAACTACAGTAGAAAGTGGAACCTTAGGTTGAACTAAGGTTGAACTACAGTAGAAAGTGGAACCTTACGTTGAACTACAGTAGAACAACCGTAGAACTTAGTAAAAGCCATGGTGGATCTAGGGTAGAACAACAGTGGAAATACAGTAGAACTACATGAGAACCTAAGGTAAAGTGAAACCTTTGGTAGATCTATGGTACAACTACAGTAGGAATACAGTAGAAACAAGACACGTAAACAACACATCTGGAACAGGTGTAGCGTTTCATGACATAGAAGACAGAGACATAGAACTACAATATAACTATAATCTGAAATCCCACTCACCTTTTCTCCTTTAAGGTAGAGGTCTTCTGGAGGGTCGACGTACTCAAACGGTCCCGGAGGTCCTTGGAGGCCCTGATCCCCCTGAAGAACACACAATACAGCTATAAACCAGCACGGTCACATGACCTCACCACCGCTAAGCTAAAGGAGGCTAACGTTGGGCTATAAATGAACTACAGCACGGTCACATGACTTCACCACCGCTAAGCTAAAGGAGGCTAACGTTGGACTATAAATGAACTACAGCACGGTCACATGACTTCACCACCGCTAAGCTAAAGGAGGCTAACGTTGGACTATAAAGGAACTACAGCACGGTCACATGACTTCACGTCAACACCGCTAAGCTAAAGGAGGCTAATGTTGTATAATAGGTAAAGTAATTGTTTGTACCTCGTCTCCTTTCTGTCCCGGCAGAGATCGACCTTTTTCTCCCTGAAACACAAAAACATTGATGAAGGTTTAACATATGTTTGTATATAAATTACTCTAATGTAGTAAAGTCTACATTAGTAGAAGAAGTGGAAATACTCATGTGAAGTATACGTATGTCAAATTGTACTTAAGTAAAGTGATCAAATGCACTTCAAATACTTACAGGTGAACCCCTGAAGCCGGGCAGACCAGGGAGACCCTGTAGACACATTCATATATGACATTACATATTAAATAAAGAGACGTTTAATAAAATAAAACAAAATACAAGTACACAACCGTGGTCATAATAAATATCAGCAATTTAAAGCAACAAAAAAAAGTATTGAAGAAAAACGGTAATTACTCTTATCAATATTATTTGTATATTTGTTATTATTGTTATTGTTGTTTTATGGCTGTCAGTGACTCACGTTGGTCCCGTCCGGTCCTGCAGGACCCAGAACTCCAGTCAGACCGGAGAGGCCCGGCTCGCCCTGCAGAAACACACATCATATTAAACTCAGAAAAACATCGAATCATTTGGAATAAAACAGTTATTAGATATTTATAAAAAATCAAAAACACATTTTCTTGAACAAGTAATGCTTTTTATTGAATTTAAGGATTTAGTTTCAAAAACATAAATATATATATTATAAATAATATTATGAAAACAGCGATTTTGTGTATTTTTTTCTCTAGATTACAAAATATTAAAAATATGTAATGATGAGAAAACTAAATATGTTTACGGTTAGAATATAAATACCGTAAATGTGATATTACTATTATTATTTTTATTGTCATTATCTACATCTAACTTTATCTGGTTGATCCATACATAACACTGTAAATATTGTCCTTATTTTTATAATCTTGTGAAATCCGTCTGTTATTTTCTCCAGAATAGATTCAATTTTACCCGTTAATAATCCAGTTGTGTTACCTCGAGAACAACTAAATACTTAACCCATGAACTTGAAGTAATGGAATAAAAAATATTTGTTAGTATTGCCTTTATTATTTCAGAAAATACTTAAAAACAAACTTATTTACAACTAAAAACAGGTCGCAGTGTTCTCACAGCACTGGTAATCACTTTTAAAATAAAGAGTGAAAAAATTCAACAAGATCATTTTCTCAGCATGAGGAACAATCATATTTAGTTTAGTTTGTTCTCACCGACAAAGCAGTAAATCCACTGGGCCCGACGTCGCCCTGAAACACAAACACCTTACTGCTTTATTGTTCCTTTGCATGTTAAATGAAAGAAAAACATGAACAGAAACAAACCCCAGATCTGTGGTTTTCTGGGGGAAATTGAGCAGCAACCAAATTCACTCCACCAGGTGCCAAAAACATCACAGTTTGTAATACTTACAGATATTCCTGGATACTGTATGTAGTAGACGGCGGGATCTCCTGGAAATCCCTTCAGTCCTGAGAAACCCTGCAGAATAAAACACACTTTAATATACTGTACAACACAAGAGCTGCAGGATGTCGTATTTCCGTGTTGGTCCCTGAAGGCAGCATCTCTCTGGTCCAATGAGATTTTTCCTTGTGATTTTGGAATATTGCAGAAAATAATCTCAACGTTTCTGATACTTACACGTTTAGTTCAGCAGGATAATCTCCTGTTAACACCACTTTATGATTTCAGAAGTAAAAAGCTAACGCTTGGTTATAAAGGAACTACAGCACGGTCACATGACTTCACGTCACCACCGCTAAGCTAAAGGTGGCTAATGTTGGGCTATAAAGGAACTACAGCACGTTCACATGACTTCACGTCACTACCACTAAGCTAAAGGTGGCTAATGTTGGGCTATAAAGGAACTACAGCACCGTCACATGACTTCACGTCACCACCGCTAAGCTAAAGGCGGCTAATGTTGGGCTATAAAGGAACTACAGCACGGTCACATGACTTCACGTCACCACAGCTAAGCTAAAGGTGGCTAATGTTGGGCTATAAAAGAACTACAGCATGGTCACATGACTTCACGTCACCACCGCTAAGCTAAAGGAGGCTAATGTTGGGCTATAAAGGAACTACAGCACGGTCACATGACTTCACGTCACCACCGCTAAGCTAAAGGTGGCTAATGTTGGGCTGTAAAGGAACTGCAGCACGGTCACATGACTTCACGTCACCACCGCTAAGCTAAAGGTGGCTAATGTTGGGCTGTAAAGGAACTGCAGCACGGTCACATGACTTCACGTCACCACCGCTAAGCTAAAGGTGGCTAATGTTGGGCTGTAAAGGAACTGCAGCTAGTTCTCGAAGAATTGTGTTGTAGTGTCATCATAATGTTTTCATGTTTGTATTTGTGACTCTGACCGGTTCTCCATAAGTTCCTTGTTGTCCAGAAATCCCAGGATCTCCTCTCTCTCCTCTGGTTCCGTTACACCCGTCCAGACCTGGAAACCCTGGACCTCCAGCTGGACCCGGGTGACCCTGAACACAAACACTGATTTTATCAACATCATCATCGCTGTGCAGAGCTGGGAAGTAGTGGAGTACAAATACTTGGTAACTGTACTTAAGTACATGTTTCTGGTATCAGTACATTACTCCACTACTTATTTTTCTGACGGCTTTTTACTTTGACTTCTTACATGTTGAACACAAATACCTGTACTTTCTACTTCTTACATGTTGAACACAAATACCTGTACTTTCTACTTCTTACATGTTGAACACAAATACCTGTACTTTCTACTTCTTACATTTTGAACACAAATACCTGTACTTTCTACTTCTTACATGTTGAACACAAATACCTGTACTTTCTACTTCTTACATGTTGAACACAAATACCTGTACTTTCTACTTCTTACATTTTGAACACAAATACCTGTACTTTCTACTTCTTACATGTTGAACCCAAATACCTGTACTTTCTACTTCTTACATGTTGAACACAAATACCTGTTCTTTCTACTTCTTACATGTTGAACTCAAATACCTGTACTTTCTACTTCTTACATGTTGAACACAAATACCTGTACTTTCTACTTCTTACATGTTGAACACAAATACCTGTACTTTCTACTTCTTACATGTTGAACCCAAATACCTGTACTTTCTACTTCTTACATTTTGAACACAAATACCTGTACTTTCTACTTCTTACATTTTGAACCCAAATACCTGTACTTTCTACTTCTTACATGTTGAACCCAAATACCTGTACTTTCTACTTCTTACATGTTGAACACAAATACCTGTACTTTCTACTTCTTACATTTTGAACCCAAATACCTGTACTTTCTACTTCTTACATGTTGAACCCAAATACCTGTACTTTCTACTTCTTACATGTTGAACCCAAATACCTGTACTTTCTACTTCTTACATGTTGAACCCAAATACCTGTACTTTCTACTTCTCACATGTTGAACACAAATACCTGTACTTTCTACTTCTTACATGTTGAACCCAAATACCTGTACTTTCTACTTCTCACATGTTGAACTCAAATACCTGTACTTTCTACTTCTCACATTTCCCAAACAGGCTGGTTCCTTTAGTTTGAATGTGTGTTTGGTGGCGTGATCATTATTATTTAGAGTCATTGCGTGCCTATTGATTTGAACACGATCCGTGTATCCATCATTTCCTGGTCTTCTCTAAAGAAGAGGGACCAATGAAAACGTTGTCATGTTGCCGTTGTTCAGCATGGAAACATTCATTAGCTAACAATGACATTATTGTTCTATTAATATAAAGGGAGGTCAGGTACTCTTTAAAACAGCTGCTAGTTATGGGTACTTTCTACTTAAAGTGGACCTATCATGCTATATTTGAATAATATATTGTAGGGCCATACCTATATAAAACATGTCTGTGAAGTTTTTTTTTCAAAATACCAAACAGATCATGCATTTTAGCCATGCCTCATTTTGCTCTATTTTGCTCTCCTCCAGCCCTGTCTTTGCATGAGCTGCAGCTGACCACGCCCCCCTGCAAAGGAGGCGGGTGAGGCACGAGCGTCATGTTACCATGCTGTTACCATGCTGTTACCATGCCACGGCAACCTCTCATTCCCCTGATAGGTGGAGAGTTGGCCATATAGGCGGAGCTCCTCGTTCCTGACGTCAGAGAATTTTCAAATCTGGATCAGTTTTTATCAGATCTGTTGCAGCCCCGTTTTTAGAGATTTGGGTATGGAGGAAAATAGAGAGGGTTGTGTTTTCTGACACTTGGTGAGTTCCCTGACACACCGGGGACACATATTCATGTATACAAGACGTACAAAAGTGCATTTTGCATGATAGGTCCCCTTTAAGTACATTTCAAAGCCCATACTTCTTTACTATTACTTGAGTAAAGAAGTTTAGTCAGTACTTCTACTTTCACCAGAGTATTTTGAAACACGAGTATCTGTACTTCTACTCGAGTAAAGGATGCGTGTACTTCTATTCGAGTAAAGGATGTGTGTACTTCTACTTGAGTAAAGGATGTGTGTACTTCTACTCGAGTAAAGGATGTGTGTACTTCTACTTGAGTAAAGGCTGTGTGTACTTCTACTTGAGTAAAGGATGTGTGTACTTCTACTTGAGTAAAGGATGTGTGTACTTCTACTTGAGTAAAGGATGTGTGTACTTGTCGCTGTGTTTCTGATCGCTATGACCTCAGAATCAGAGGACGATATTTATCTCTGGGGGGTAATTAGATTCCATTTGAAGTGCATTAGATTTGCTCTAAAGGTGCTTTTACATTAGAGTTTGATTGAGTAAGTGATATGTCTGGGCCAATGAGGTGAGAGAATGAGATGGGGCGGGGTTCTTACCGGGACTCCTTCTAAACCGGGAAAACCAGGAACGCCGAAATTTCCCTGAAACAAAAACAGAAGTTAAAATGAAGTTCTTCACCAGCAACATGTCTACTCTCTCTCACAACGTTTTACTTTTCTACAACAACTTTCCCCTTTCCATCTTTTTACTTTTTCTCTAACAACTCTATACTCTTCTTGCACTGGAAGTTCCTCGGTGTAAAACGTGTGAAAGTAAAACAAACGGATTATCTGACGTTATATATGTAAACATCAGAGAGTCGGCCATCTTGTGTTTGTTGATATGATCATGTGCTGTAAGCCATGAGTTTCATCATTTAGTTTATCTAAAGAGATATGCACACATGTCTGTCTGCAGCGTGTTATTGAGCATAGGGTCTTATTAGCATAGGGTCTTATTAGCATAGGGTCTTATTAGCATAGGGTCTTATTTATTATAAGGTCTTATTAGCATAGAGTCTTATTTATTATAAGGTCTTATTAGCATAGGGTCTTATTAGCATAGGGTCTTATTTATTATAAGGTCTTATTAGCATAGAGTCTTATTTATTATAAGGTCTTATTAGCATAGTCTTATTTATTATAAGGTCTTATTAGCATAGGGTCTTATTAGCATAGGGTCTTATTTATTATAGGGTCTTATTAGCATAGGGTCTTATTTATTATAAGGTCTTATTAGCATAGGGTCTTATTAGCATATAGGGTCTTATTTATTATAGGGTCTTATTTAGCATAGGATCTTATTAGCATAGGGTCTTATTAGCATAGGGTCTTATTTATTATAGGGTCTTATTAGCATAGGGTCTTATTAGGATAGGGTCTTATTTATTATAGGGTCTTATTAGCATAGGGTCTTATTTATTATAGGGTCTTATTAGCATAGAGTCTTATTTATTATAGGGTCTTATTAGCATAGGGTCTTATTTATTATAGGGTCTTATTAGCATAGGGTCTTATTTATTATAGGGTCTTATTAGCATAGGGTCTTATTTATTATAGGGTCTTATTAGCATAGGGTCTTATTTATTATAGGGTCTTATTAGCATAGAGTCTTATTTATTATAGGGTCTTATTAGCATAGGGTCTTATTTATTATAGGGTCTTATTTATTATAGGGTCTTATTAGCATAGAGTCTTATTTATTATAGGGTCTTATTAGCATAGGGTCTTATTAGCATAGGGTCTTATTTAGCATAGGATATTGTAACATGTGTAAAAGGTGTAAAAGCTATAGAGCTGTGTAAACTAAAAAGAAGTGTATAAAACCTGTGAGATTCTGTTGTTCTTTAGACAGACACATGAACTCTTGGCGGACTTGACGCAAGTGTTCTGTCTCTTATCCTGTTGTACAACAATATAATAATTCCTTCAATCAGCAGAGTGTCTGTGTTTCTATTTTGTTGTATATGTGGTTATGTCTTGAGTGTCTAAGGCAGGGGTCGGCAACCTTTTTGATATGAAGTGCAATTTAAAAAAAATATTGTGATCAGTGTGACTGTCAACGGGGGGGTGGGGGGGGTGTAGAGCTCGACGCTTGTGAACTGTCAAAAGGAGGGCGTGGGGAGCCTAGCTGCGGGGAAGCAGTGTGTGGACCTCTTTCACCTGTCAGCGCAGCTTACATGATGCCGTTTAAACACATTTAAATAATTGGTTCAAACGGCATTATAATAATGACGGCCGTCCGTTCTGTGATTCTCCAGAACACACAGATGGCCAGTCCGCCACTGGGCTTTCAACTAAAGACACAGCCACGCAAAAACTGCAGCATTTGTACAGCTCCTGGATAGCCTACTGCCATTTGTACGCGTGCCTCGGGTTGCCGACCCCTGGTCTAAGGTTTCGGATTCCATGACATGTTCAGATCAGAATAAAACAAACCGAGTCTCCTTTCAGCCCGGCGGCTCCGATTGGCCCCTCGTCTCCTCTCTGGGCCTTTTCTCCTGGAGGCCCCTGGGGGCCCGGGAAGCCGGGGGGGCCCTGAGGGCCCTGCTGCCCCAGAGGGCCTGGATACCCCTGCAGGACACACACGGTAAAGAAAACTCATGACTCACGGAGCTAAATGAACAGTGTAACATGGGTGTAATATGGGTCTAATAACAGTGTAATAGGGGTCTAATAACAGTGTAATATGGGTCTAATAACAGTGTAACATGGGTATAATAAGGGTGTAATAGGGTGTATTAATATGGGTGTAATGACATTGTATTAGGGGTGTAATAACAGTGTAATGGGGGTGTAATAACAGTGTAATACGGGTGTGTTAGGGGTGTAATAAAAGTGTAATGGGGGTGTGATATGGGTGTGTTAGGGGTCTAATAACAGTGTAATATGTGTCTATTAACAGTGTAACATGGGTATAATAAGGGTGTAATAGGGTGTATTAATATGGGTGTAATGACATTGTATTAGGGGTGTAATAACAGTGTAATATGGGTGTGTTAGGGGTGTAATAATAGTGTAATGGGGGTGTAATAACAGTGTAATATGAGTGTGTTAGGGGTGTAATAAAAGTGTAATATGGGTCTAATAACAGTGTAATATGGGTCTAATAACAGTGTAATATGGGTCTAATAACAGTGTAATATGGGTCTAATAACAGTGTAACATGGGTATAATAAGGGTGTAATAGGGTGTATTAATATGGGTGTAATGACATTGTATTAGGGGTGTAATAACAGTGTAATATGGGTGTGTTAGGGGTGTAATATGGGTGTGTTAGGGGTGTAATAAAAGTGTAATGGGGGTGTAATAACAGTGTAATATGGGTGTGTTAGGGGTCTAATAACAGTGTATTATGTGTCTATTAACAGTGTAACATGGATATAATAAGGGTGTAATGACATTGTATTAGGGGTGTAATAACAGTGTAATATGGGTGTGTTAGGGGTGTAATAACAGTGTAATGGGGGTGTAATAACAGTGTAATATGGGTGTGTTAGGGGTGTAATAACAGTGTAATATGGGTGTGTTAGGGGTCTAATAACAGTGTAATATGTGTCTATTAACAGTGTAACATGGGTATAATAAGGGTGTAATAGGGTAATGACATGTATTAATATGGGTGTAATGACATTGTATTAGGGGTGTAATAACAGTGTAATATGGGTGTGTTAGGGGTGTAATAATAGTGTAATGGGGGTGTAATAAGAGTGTAATATGGGTGTGTTAGGGGTGTAATAACAGTGTAATGGGGGTGTAATAACAGTGTAATATGGGTGTGTTAGGGGTGTAATATGGGTGTGTTAGGGGTGTAATAATAGTGTAATGGGGGTGTAATAACAGTGTAATATGGGTGTGTTAGGGGTGTAATAATAGTGTAATGGGGGTGTAATAACAGTGTAATATGAGTGTGTTAGGGGTGTAATAAAAGTGTAATATGGGTCTAATAACAGTGTAATATGGGTCTAATAACAGTGTAATATGGGTCTAATAACAGTGTAATATGGGTCTAATAACAGTGTAACATGGGTATAATAAGGGTGTAATAGGGTGTATTAATATGGGTGTAATGACATTGTATTAGGGGTGTAATAACAGTGTAATATGGGTGTGTTAGGGGTGTAATATGGGTGTGTTAGGGGTGTAATAATAGTGTAATGGGGGTGTAATAACAGTGTAATATGGGTGTGTTAGGGGTGTAATAATAGTGTAATGGGGGTGTAATAACAGTGTAATATGAGTGTGTTAGGGGTGTAATAAAAGTGTAATATGGGTCTAATAACAGTGTAATATGGGTCTAATAACAGTGTAATATGGGTCTAATAACAGTGTAACATGGGTATAATAAGGGTGTAATAGGGTGTATTAATATGGGTGTAATGACATTGTATTAGGGGTGTAATAACAGTGTAATATGGGTGTGTTAGGGGTGTAATATGGGTGTGTTAGGGGTGTAATAAAAGTGTAATGGGGGTGTAATAACAGTGTAATATGGGTGTGTTAGGGGTCTAATAACAGTGTATTATGTGTCTATTAACAGTGTAACATGGATATAATAAGGGTGTAATGACATTGTATTAGGGGTGTAATAACAGTGTAATATGGGTGTGTTAGGGGTGTAATAACAGTGTAATGGGGGTGTAATAACAGTGTAATATGAGTGTGTTAGGGGTGTAATAACAGTGTAATATGGGTGTGTTAGGGGTCTAATAACAGTGTAATATGTGTCTATTAACAGTGTAACATGGGTATAATAAGGGTGTAATAGGGTAATGACATGTATTAATATGGGTGTAATGACATTGTATTAGGGGTGTAATAACAGTGTAATATGGGTGTGTTAGGGGTGTAATAATAGTGTAATGGGGGTGTAATAAGAGTGTAATATGGGTGTGTTAGGGGTGTAATAACAGTGTAATGGGGGTGTAATAACAGTGTAATATGGGTGTGTTAGGGGTGTAATAAGAGTGTAATGGGGGTGTAATATTGGTTACATGGGTGTAATAAAAGTCATGATGAAGTAATATGCGGGTAAATGAAGTGTTAACAGAAGTAAATAATAATTATACTTTAAAAACATCATTTGTAAAATATATTCTGGCTTTTCCCATGGCTGTATATATACAGGAGAAAATGGGAGGCTCAACGGCCGTCAGGACATGAAAGTAATATAAATATAAAACACTGATAGACAGAAAGAAATACCTGGGAAAACATTCTTTACCAAATTTACGTCTAAATTGTTTCACTTTTTGTTTCTGTTTCGCAGCTACAAATACTTGTAACAAATTATATATGTATTTCATCTTATGTCCTTCTGACCACAGGAGGGCAGTGTTACACATCAATAACAACACACACCCACACACACACCCACACACACACACACACACACACACACACACACACCACACACACACACACACACACACACACACACACACACACACACACACACACACACACACACACACACACACACACACACACACACACACACACACACACACACACACACACACACACACACACACACACACACACACACACATACACACACACACACACACAGACCGAGCAGTGTGTGTTTGAACAGCAGCTTAGACAGTCAGGATGTTAAATCTGATGGAATGTTCCTTTAAATCAGCAGACATCAGATTACAGTGACACACACACACACACACACACACACACACACACACACACACACACACACACACACACACACACACACACACACACACACACACACACACACACACACACACACACACACACACACACACACACACACACACACACACACACAGAAATCTGAGCCTTTCAGAGAGAAAAAGTTGTAAAAAGACGACAAAAAGTCGAATTTTTAGACAAAAGAAACTCCAATGTCACCATAAGAAATCCGATTAAATTAGAAAATCGATAGAAAAAAATGTGTAAAATATGGAGGAAAAATTCATCAAAATTCTACGGAAATAATTAAATGATGATTTTGGAGAAAATAATTATAATGTTTAATTAAAATGGTAAAAGAAATTCTAGAAAATAACTCACTGTAAATGTTGTTTAGAAAAGTCTCAATAATGTCAGAAACACAGTTTGAATACATAAATGGAAAATCTGAGTAAAGTAGAGAATTAATAAACAACATTTTAGAGAGAAGTGATAATAATCCAGCAAAAAGTTAAAATATTTTTAAAAAATGCGATAAAATCGGAAAAAAATTGAGAAAAAAAAGGAAATATTTGGAGGAGAAAAGTCAAGTCAATCCAGCAGAAAGAATTCAAGTGAAGTCAAACATTTCGGGGAGAACATTTTTAATATTTAATGAAATAGTGATAGAGAGAAACTCCTGGGTGTGTTTTTGTTTTACTGACGTCAGACGGGAGATATACAAATCGAACTTTTCTGCTTTTTAAAATCATCAATCTGATCGATACATCTGATAAAGTATTTCAGTTTAGCTCGGTGCTCTCTGTGTGTGAAGTGTGTGAATCAGTGTGTGAATCAGTGTGTGTGTGTGTGTGTGTGTGATGAGATGTGACAGCTGTGATCTCTGTTAGTCCTCTCTCCGTCCGTCTTTATCTGAAACCTCTGAACTGTGAAATCACTGAGACAGTCGCCTTCCCACAATCCCCTCTGCCTGTCTGCTAACCCCAGCTGTACACACACACACACACACACACACACACACACACACACACACACACACACACACACACACACACACACACACACACACACACACACACACACACACACACACACACACACACACACACACACACACACACACACACACACACACACACACACACACTCTCTCTCACACATCACACAGGCTGGAGGTCAGTTTATGGTGGACCTGGATTACACCTTGCTTTCTTTATAAAAAAACATCTGGCTATAATGTGATGATAAAGTCACATTGAGGGACTATAAACACACACACACATTTCCTAAAAATACATCGCACATATTGCTCGATAAAGTTCGGTTAACTTCCATGAAATAAAACCTAAAGTTTCAAATGTAATAAAAAAATAAAACACTTCCTCCGTCTGTAAAGGATAACAAAAGGAAACTAGAGAATGCAATTCCTGAAGAAATTGCTAGTGGGAATGCTTTATGCTGAAATGCTTTATGCTGAAATGCTTTATGCTGAAATGCTTTATGCTGAAATGTGTAAGAAGAAAGTGAAGAATTTAATTGAAATGATACATGAACACTGGGGGCTTGAATGTGTGATGAGAGAAGAAAAGAAAGTAAAAAGGCTTGGAAAAGCAGCAGAATATTTGAACTGCAAACCTTTGAACTAACTTGATTTTTTTTCTTTTTTTTCTTGATGGTGAATGATCTGTCGCCATGGCAACGGCATTTGAAGAAATCTCAAAACTGTCCCGTAGATGTCTTCATGGCTGGACTGTTAGCACACATGTGAAGTTTTAGCACTTTTTATGGCGAGGGATGCGGCATGGAAACCATATGCCGTTTCCATGGAAACCATATGCCGTTTCCATGGAAACGGCATATGGTGAGATCTCAGATTTGGCATAGAGCTGTTGAGGCATGGA